CTGGGTGCTCCTGTGTTGGGTCCATATATGTTTAGGATCGTTAGCTCTTCTTGTTGTATCGATCCTTTTACCATTATGTAATGGCCTTCTTTGTCTCTTTTGATCTTTGTTGCTTTAAAGTCTATTTTATCAGAGATGAGAATTGCAACTCCTGCTTTTTTTTTGCTTTCCATTAGCTTGGTAAATCTTCCTCCATCCCTTTATTTTGAGCCTTTGTGTATCCTTGCATGTGAGATGGGTTTCCTGGATACAGCACACTGATGGGTTTTGGATTTTTATCCAATTTGCCAGTCTGTGTCTTTTGATTGGTGCATTTAGTCCATTTACATTTAGGGTTAATATTGTTATGTGTGAATTTGATACTGCCATTTTGATGCTAAGTGGCTGTTTTGCCTGTTAGTTGTTGTAGATTCTTCATTATGTTGAAGCTCTTTAGCATTCAGTGTGATTTTGGAATGGCTGGTACTGATTGATCCTTTCTATGTGTAGTGCCTCTTTTAGGAGCTCTTGTAAAGCAGGCCTGGTGGTGACAAAATCTCTGAGTACTTGCTTGTTCACAAAGGATTTTATTCTTCCTTCACTTCTGAAGCTCAGTTTGGCTGGATATGAAATTCTGGGTTGAAAGTTCTTTTCTTTAAGAATGTTGAATATTGGCCCCCACTCTCTTCTGGCTTGTAGTGTTTCTGCCGAGAGATCTGCTGTGAGTCTGATGGGCTTCCCTTTGTGGGTGACCTGACCTTTCTCTCTGGCTGCCCTTAGTATTCTCTCCTTTATTTCAACCCTGTTGAATCTGACGATTATGTGCCTTGGGGTTGCTCTTCTTGTGGAATATCTTTGTGGTGTTCTCTGTATTTCCTGCAATTGAGTGTTGGCTTGTCTTGCTAGGTGGGGGAAATTTTCCTGGATGATGTCCTGAAGAGTATTTTCCAGCTTGGATTCATTCTCTTCGTCCCCTTCTGGTACACCTATCAAACATAGGTTAGGTCTTTTCACATAGTCCTACATTTCTTGGAGACTTTGTTCATTCCTTTTTGCGCTTTTTTCTCTGATCTTGGTTTCTCGTTTTATTTCATTGAGTTGGTCTTCGACTTCAGATATTCTTTCTTCTGCTTGGTCAGTTCGGCTATTGAAACTTGTGTTTGCTTCGCGAAGTTCTCGTATTGTGTTTTTCAGCTCCTTTAATTCATTCATATTCCTCTCTAAGGTATCCATTCTTGTTATCATTTCCTCGAATCTTTTTTCAAATCTTTTTTCAAGGTTCTTAGTTTCTTTGCATTGATTTAATACATGATCTTTTAGCTCACAAAAGTTTCTCATTATCCATCTTCTGAAGTCTAATTCCGTCATTTCGTCACAGTCATTCTCCGTCCAGCTTTGCTCCCTTGCTGGTGAGGAGTTTTGGTCCTTTCTAGGAGGCGATGTGTTCTGGTTTCGGGTGTTTTCCTCCTTTTTGCGCTGGTTTCTTCCCATCTTTGTGGATTTGTCCGCTGGTCGTCTGCATAGTTGCTGACTTTTCGTTTGGGTCTCTGAGTGGACACCCAGAATGTTGATGATGAAGTATTTCTGTTGCTTGGTTTTCCTTCTACCAGTCTAGCCCCTTCGCTGTACGACTGCTGAGGTCCGCTCCAGACCCTGCTTGTCTGGGGTGCACCTCTAGCAGCTGTGGCACAGCGAGGGATGCTACCAGTTTCTTTTTCTGCTCTCTTTGTCCCAGGATGATGCCTGCCTAATGTCAGTCTTTTGGATATAGAGGGGTCAGGGAGCTGCTTGAGGAGACAGTTTGTACTTTATAGGGGTTTAATTGCTGAGCTGTGCACTCTGTTGTTCATTCAGGGCTGTTAGGCTGCTATGTTTGATTCTGCTGCAACAGAGCTCATTAAAAACCCCTTTTTTTTTTTTTTCTCAAATGCTCTGTGTTGAGGGGTTTGGGCTTTATTTTTGGATGTCCGATCAGGTGTCCTGCCCAGCTAGAAGGCAGACTAGCCACTGTTTGGCTGCCGAGGCTCCGCCCTGCTGTTGTGTGATTCGCGCTGTTCCTGCCGGCTCTGCTGTGGTCTCCGCCACGCCCTGCGGCGGAGTCTCTTCGTTGTAGCGTGTTGCCTCAGCAACGGCAGGCTGCGTCAGCAGTGGGCGTGTATCTCAGTAGGGACGGGTTGCCTCGGCAACGGCTGGCTGCGTCAGCAATGGGCGTGTATCTCAGTTGGGGCGGGTTGCCTCGGCAACGGCTGGCTGCATCAGCAGTGGGCGTGTATCTCAGTTGGGGCGGGTTGCCTCGGTAGTGGTGGACGCCCCTCCCCCACAGAGCGTCTCGGACCGTCTGCTCGGGATAGTTTGAAATCGCGGTTTTGTTCGTCCCACTGGGTATCCCAATCCCTGCAATCCCCTGGGCTGGCCTATTGTCCAAGTCTCGTTCAGTCTCAAGTCCAGCCCTCTCAAGTCTCAGGTTGCCGGTTCAACAGGGCACCTGGACAAGCGCGCCCTGTGGGGATTGCTGGGTAGGGCCGGCCGCCGCCGCCCCGGCTGCTGGCTTCGCCAGGCAGACCTACTGCCTGGCGTCCCGTGTCTTTTTTATACTTGGGAGTTTCCCCGTTCTGTGGGCAACAAAGATCAGTCTGGAAATGCCGCTCTGACTCACCGTTTGCGGATTCAACGAGAAGAGCTCCAATCCTGGGTTGTTCTCACAGCGCCATCTTGAGTCCTCCCCTAAAATGCTCTTACTTGCTCAGGTGTAGCAGGACACGCTGCAGACAAAACCTCTTAGACACTAGGCTTGCGAAGGAAGTGGCTTTTCATTCCTGCTTAGTGCATTTCTTTACTTGCAAGGGGACAGAGGGTGGGCTTAGGTTTGGGACTAGAGGGGCTTTGGCAACTACGGGGCTCAGGTGATTGTCCTTCACTCATTCATCCAATAAACATTTATCAAGCATCTATTCTTGTGTCAGCCTCTGGTTTTCTCTGTTCTCTTCCCGGGCGTTGTGAAAATCCCTGGGAGAGGTGATCACAGGCAGCAGCTTGCTGTCACTATTTTTTTTTTTTTTTTTTTTTTTTTTTTTTCAGTTTTCAGAGTCAGCGCTTGGCTGCTGCCTCCACATGACTGAGAACCTGCGCGTTTTCTCTCCTTCCTCTCTTTTATTTCTCCCTCTTTCTTACATCCCTTGCTCCCCCTTCCCTTTCTCTTTCCTCTTTATCTAAAATAGGAGAAATGCTAATTTTTTTGAGACAGTGTCTCACTCTGTCACCCAGTCTGGAGTGCAGTGGTGTGATCCCAGCTCACTGCAACTCCGCCTCCTGGGTTCAAGCAATTCTCGTGCCTCAGCCTCAGTAGCTGGGATTACAGGCGCCCACCACCACACCCGGCTAATTTTTGTATTTTTTTAGTAGAGATGGGGTTTCACCATGTTGGCCAGGCTAGTCTCAAGCTCCTGCCCTCAAGTGATCCACCTGCTTCAGCCTCCCAAAGTGCTGGGATTACAGGCCTGAGCCATCACGCCCCACCAAGCAATGTAATTTTTAACATGCCAATCGATACATTTCTTCGGGCACACACATTTTCAAAGTTTTCTGTCACTGGGGCTCAGTTTAATTCTTATGCTACGGTGGTAGATTTTAAGGATAATTTGCGCTTATTGAGGCAGAGTTTCGCTCTTGTTGCCCAGGCTGGAGTGCAATAGTGCCATCTTGGCTCCCTGCAACCTCTACCTCCCAGGTTCAAGCAATTCTCCTGCCTCAGCCTCCTGAGTAGCTGGGACTACAGGCACACACCACATCCAGCTAATTTCTGTATGTTTTAGTAGAGACAAGATTTCACCATGTTGATCAGGCTGCTCTCGAACTCCTGATCACAGGTGATCTGCCTGCTTCACCCTCCAAAGGTGCTGGAATTACAGGTGTGAGCCACCACGCCTGGCCTCCTTCCTTTTTTCTATCTATTTAGCCATTGTTTTCTTCTCCAAAAGGCCTCCCCTTTCCAAACCCCAACCGATTCTGTTTTGCCTCCTGTTATGGGCTGAATTCTGTCCCCTCCCAAATTCACAAGCTGAAGCCCTAACCCCCAGGACCTCAGCATGTGAGTGTATTTGGAGACAGGGCCTTTAAAGAAGAGGTGATTAAAGTTAAATGAGGTCATTGGAGTCCACTCTAGTCCAATATGACAGGTGTCCTCATAAGAGGAGGAGGGTAGGACATGTAGAGACAGACGGCAGGGCTGTGCATGTACAGAGGAAAGACCACGTGAGGACCCAGCAGGAAGATGGCCGGCTATTACACAAGCCACGGAGAGAGGCCTCGGGAGAAACCAACGCGGCCGCACCTTGACCTTGGACTTTCACCCTCCAGAACGGAGAAAATATTAACACATTTCTGTTGGTTAAGTCACTTCGTCTGTGGACTCGTGCTGTGGCAATCCTCAGCTGATACACCTGCTACCAAAATCCTTGTTCCTAAAGGGGCAGTTGTTGCACGTCGAGGTTTTTAAGGACAGAAACTCCATCCTGGGCCTAGCACAGTTTCTATATTTGTCCGTAAGATCCTCAAAGTAAAACACCGAAAACTGCACCTTTTCTTTCCTTTCTGTCATCATCATAGTGATCTACTTTACAGATGAAACGTGCTTAAAAGTTAATTTGCCCAGGGTCACCCAGGTAGTGAGAAGCAGGATTCAAACTCAGTTCTGCCTCTAAGTGCCCTCTTTCTCTCTAGTTTGGAGCAGCTGACACAGCCCCAAGGAGGGTCTGGGGACAGGAGCCAGAACTGTGCACCTCTGTCTGGGGTGAATATTGGCAAACTGCAGGAGGACTGGGCAATAAACCCTATCACGGTTTGGCTTCTTCCTTAACCCACTCAGAAGTTCAGTTCTGGGAAACACTCACATGTCCTCCACAAGGGGGCAGTACCGCCCCCCCACCCCCATCTCAAGGTCTCTTTGGTACTTCGGAATTGAGACCAAGGGGAGAGCTCGTGTGCATTCTGGTCTTTGTCAACAGTGACTCCCAACCACACTCTTACTCTTTCAAAATACATTTTATTAGCAGCACATGGAATGTAAAGTTAAACAATTTCTTTCCAGAGAGAAGGTGAACCCTGAGAGACTGAAAAACTGAGCAGGGATATTACAGCAGAATCGCGTTTCCAGTGTAACAAGAGATAAAGGGGAAAACCGTCCCCTGGGAAATGACTTTCTCCACCATGCTGACCACTCTGCACAGCACCCGATGCAGCTGGTGGGGGCGGGGAGGCGGGAAGAATCTCAAAGCACAAAACCCGGTGAGGACGCAGGAAGTCACGGGGCCAGCCCTACAGCGGTCGGCTACTCTCTGTTGTTGGAGAGGCTGAGTCCTGTCACTCACTATACGAGGACCAGAGGGTCTTTGGAAGGTGCAGTCTGGCTCATGGGAGAACACTAATTGAGGGAGGTTCATCTCTGAACCCAAGGAACTTCAAGGAATCCCACAGCATCTCCATTATGACCTTCCATCTCCAGGTTAGGGAGCTATGGGTTCTTTGGAAGTATCTGGAGACATCCAGATAAGTCAGGAAAGATCTGAACTTTCTTAGGAAAATCAATTTAGTCTCTCATACATGGAGAACATTTCCCTTAAAGGATTTTGGTTCTTTTCCCTGATGTTCTTGTGCACCCAGGCTGGCATACAGTGGAGTACCCATGGCTCACCTCGGCTTTGACTTCCCAGGCTCAAGCAGTCCTCCTAATATGGGCATGTCTCTCGTGATTTCAGAACCCACCCCTCAATCAAACATTCAGATGATTATTAAGGCAACAAAACAAGTGACAGACTGCACGATTTCTTCCATGTCTGGATCTAATTGATTAGGCTATGTCTCATGAGGAGACTGTACTCTTCCTCTAAGCTAGCATCTGGAACACAGTCTACCAGGGGCTTAGGCCAGGTCTGTGACAGTAGTTTCACCAGGATCAATTCCAAAGTGCAGCTTGTCGTCCTTGGCGGCTGCCCAGGGCATGGAGGTGGTGGTCCACTTTGCCACCCAGTCTCCTGTCTTGCTAACCAAGATGAGGCCACCTAAACCTTTGACCCTTGACTTCATATAACCCAACGACAGGTCCGCAGCCTCTTCTACCGTCTTTCCTGAAAACAAGGAAGGGTTGAGAAACAACACGTTACTGAACAGAATCTCATGGGAAAATCACTTGCAGTTAGAAAGTGAACTAGGAAGGATTTGTGGTGAATGAACACCTGAACGCTTAAAAGGAGGGTCCTCCCCTCCCTGCCGGGAGACAGAGTCCTAGCATCAGCCCAAGCAGAGGGGTCTTCCCTCCCTCACTCAGGCTCAATGTCTCTCCAGTGCCCCCTTCTCCTGAGATGTGGGGGATGACAGTACTCAGTGCTCTCCCATTCCTGACCTAAGGGAAGGCGGAGTCAACACAGTGTTAACGACCTGAAAGCGACATCTGTAGCCAACAGGAAAGGGTTTCCTACACGTCTCCATGCGTTTACTTATCAAACACCTTCTAAGCATTTGTCTTCACAAATTATTCGACTTGTCCTGTGGTCTGCGTACCTTGTTGCATGTGGAACAGAGTGAGTCTGGCCAGGTTCACCTTCAGGATGCTTTCCCCGTGCCCTGTGGTTGAGATGGCTCCGATGTTACTGTCAGCATAACCTCCAGATCCTGCTCAAAAGGGTGATTGTTCTGAGCATTCACAGTCGAGAAATTCAAATCCATATTAGAAGTCGGACGCTACGTGAAAGTTAAATCTCAAAGGGCGCTCAAGTATAGACGAAGGTCAGGTTAGCAGCCATGATCTGCAGACACTAAGGTGGACTAGAAAGCGCCATGTAGATGCCCCAGAATGGAGGAGGATAAAGGGAGCCTCAGGAGGGGAGGCCTGATCTTCACACAGCAGCTACAGCAGGATAGCATCTTCTTGGCCCCAAAGCATAGCCATTCCTTTCTGCTCAATGAAGCCACCCCTCCTTGCCTCCTCCTCATGCCGTACACACTATGGAGGAGAAACAGCTTGACTGCATTACATGGATCTCTAGCAAGGCCATCAGGTTCCAGCGATTTTGGGAAAACAGATACCCACAACCTTACATCCGTGCACACTGTCCGATGGAGGGCAGCTCTATTTGTTGAGGGTGGGCATGACTGGACCTGAGGGAACTATTCTGGGCTATCCACTTAAGCAGGGGTCTGCAGCGAAAGCTACTTTGGTAAGATTCTTCCTTATTTTGTTCTGGGATCAAGCAACCTTACAGCCTTCTCTAAGTCATTCCTCTATCTGTTCACACACAGCTACCAGCCTGAGAGTCCTTCAGCCTTGGAAGGATTCACCTTTACTCTCCTGCAGTTGATACAGAAGCAGAGATGACTGACATTTGCCTTACTTATGGATGCTGGACATGGGGCAAGGACTCAGGAGTTGAGATGTTGCACTGAATTGTCACAAGGCCCCAGAGGTTCTCAAAGGAGATCATCCCTGGCTCTGGTTCTGGAGGGAGATGACACTGGGCAGTGAGTGAACTGCTGCAGTGGGAGGAGGAGGCTTTCCGTTTTCTTATAAGCTTCTGTTGGGGATAAACTGGCCGTTTCCCATGGTGTCAATCTGCCCTAACATTTGAAAGCAGCCAAGTCTTTGCTTGCTTTTCAGTTACTCTAGGATCACAGAAGGCCAGGCGCCTCCAAGGGTGGTCATGGCACAGGCGTCGGGTCTGTGAAGCTGTCCTCCCCACCACATGCACTTCTCAGGACAAGTGGATTGCCTGAGTGACCATTGCTGTGCCTAGCACCGTCCCTCCTGACTGTCCAGCCAGGGGCCTAAGGCTGCTCAGAAGGCCAGGCAAAGCACACCTGGTGCTCACAGCTGGAGAAGGACTTCTGAGAATTTAGCTTATGCCTTTTCTTGTCCAGATTTTCCCCTGTTAACTGAAGTTTAAAATTAATTTCTAGGATCTAACCTGGAGTGACCCTGTGGTCTGGTCTGAACCCAGCTGAAGCAAGCTGCACTACTGACCAGGGATAGTTTGGAAGGATTTTTGCTAAGGAGAAAGGTAGACTACTTCCTATCTCTTGGGTGACCTACCGAGGAGTGGCATTACCAAGCCTCTACTCTTTAAGGAAGCTTCCAGTGTCTCTGAGTTCATGACAGAAAAAGGGTATCAAGAATTGTCAAGAGTATAGATTATTATTAAAGACTAGAGCAACACATTAAAAAGGGAGGGGAGGGCTAGTTTTCCTCTAAAAGAGTAAGTTGCTCTTTGGGGCAGATGGAATAATTTAGCTATTTCTCAAAACTCCAGTCACCTGCAGGGGTTCACGAGGACTCCTTCATGAATGGAAGTTTGCACAAAGCGGCCCTGTCTCTCACTCCCAGGAATGAGAGGATGTGCTTCCCTGTTGATGTAAAAAGATCTCAATCTGTAATATGTCTGTAGACGTCTGTCCCTTTCCTGCTGCTCAGATCTAATAACCGCAGTCTTAAACTCTCAGATTTCTCAGATTGCTAATTAGAGCCCATGTCTAGGGAGTAAGTCTCACTCTAGTAAGTCTGCAGATCCTGGAACTGCAGCTAAGGAGAAAACAGAATCACTATCGGGTAGACTGGGGCAACTTCAGCATCCCTGTCTCCACTTCTCTCCCCAAGTCGTTGCGAAAAGGCAAGCGTTCTAGAAAACAGTGCTGCCGATACAAACACCCTCTCAAAGCAGCGCCCTGAACAGCCCCTTCCAACCCCGTTTCACTCCCAGACATCCTGGAGCTGCACCAAGAGCAGAAAGGGAGAGGGGGCAGGGAACAGGGAATGAGGAGAGCCTGAGGATGGAGGAACGGAGAAGGGGCAGGAGCCATCCCTTGGTCCTACCTACACACGGTGAGTCCCCAACACGGCCGACCATTCTATTAATGATACCCCCTGTAGAGGTTGCGTAGGCCACATTCCCTTTGCAGTCCAAGGCAACGGCACCCACGGTTCCCAAGTTTCTGCCAAAAATAAACAGAAAAAAGCGACAGGCTGAAAATGAGAATGAACTCCATAACCAACAATGTAGCTTCAGACCACTTAAGTCTCATTTTATATGTTAATGGAAAATGGGGCACCCTTTAACTCCAACATTCTAGAGAGAAGCTGCCTGCTTCTCATTCTACATGTAAGTTACAGGTGGATTGCTGGACACTCCTCTACACGTCAGCTTTAAGAGCACATCCACTCCCAACACCACCGTTTTCTAGCTGTGACCTTAAGTTTTCTTTTGTCTCATCGTCCCCATCAAAAAATGGGGAAAAAAATAAGGTGCATCTCAAACGTTAGTGTGTATAAGAATCCCTTGTATCCTTGAGCCCACAGAGATTCTGAAGCTGCCACCAAGAGGAGAAAGGAAGGAAAAGTGAGTTGGTAGATACGGGGTGGGGCCCAATATCCTGCGGGGTTTTTTGCTTTTTGGTTTCTGTTTTTTATTTTGAAATGGAGTCTCACTCTGTTGCCCAGGCTGGAGTGCAGTGGCACAATCTTGGCTCACTGCAATCTCCACCTCCTGGGTTCAAGAGATTATCCTGCCTCAGTCTCCTGAGTAGAGAAATGTATTTTCATCAAAAAATAAAGAGCTAATCTAAAAAAATTTTTTTTAAAAAGTCAGCCAGACATGGTGGCTCATGCCTGTAATCCCAGCACTTTGGGAGGCCAAGGTGGGCAGATCACCTGAGGAGTTTGAGACCAGTCTGGCCAACATGGTGAAACACTGTTTCTTCTAAAAGTTCAAAAATTAGCCAGGCATGGTGGCAAACACCTGTAATCCCAGCTACTCGGGAGGCTGAGGCAGAAGAATTGCTAGAACCCAGGAGGCACAGGTTGCAGTGAGCCGAGATCGCCCCACTGCACTCCCACCTGGGAGACAGAGTGCAATTCTGTCTCAAAAAAAAAAAAACTAATCTGCAGGTATAATTCCCAAAAAGTTACAAAAGTAATTGTAAAATATACAAAATTTTTGTTAATATTAAAACATGAATTGCAATTAGTAAATATAATACATAAAAGCTAAAATTAGAAAAAAGCTAAAAATTTTAACACTATAGTTTTGAAATTAACTAAATCTTTTAAATATTTTTATCAAAATAAAACCATTCACATTATAATAGTCAATGTCCATGTAGTGGCTAACATGGAGAGTTGGCTCTTCACACAGGTTCTGTCTAGCCCTGTGCTGTCCATTTACAGAAGCTGCAGCTCCCTGTGGCGACTGCGTGGCTGCTCGCTAACTGTGGCTGTCCTCAGTGAGACCTACTCTAAGTGTAAAACATACATCAGATTGTGAAGATTTAGTATAAGAAAAGAGTAAGACATCTCATAATTTCTTATATTCATTACATGTTGAAATGATCTTTTGGACATATTTGGTTAAGTAAAATATATTATTAATTTCACCTTTTTGGGGGCTTTTTTTTGTTTGTTTGTTTGTTTTTGAGACAGAGTTTTGCTCTTGTTCCCCAGGCTGGAGCACAATAGCGTGATCTCAGCTCACTGCAACCTCTGCCTCCTGGGTTCAAGTGATTCTCCTGCCTCAGCCCCCCAAGTAGCTGGGATTACAGGTGTGCATCACCACACCTGGCTGGTCTCTCCACCTCAGATCTATTTAAATCTGATTGTTCTGGTGGGGTGACCTAAACATGTATATTTTGAAAAAGCTCCCAAGGTGATACAAGGTGTACCTCTGGTTAAATATTATTATCCTTAAAAGTATGCAATCAATAGATTTAATTCCATTATAAATTCCCAGGCCATATTCACATTTTACTTTAAAATTCTGCTTTAAATAAGTGGTCTTTTATTTGGGATTTCAAAATCTGTAACAGAAAGCTGTAATTTAGAACATGACTAATTTGAATTTTTAAGAGTTGTACTGATTTCTCTACACTATGAACGAATACTTAAGTTTATAAGGTACACTAGATCACAGAGAACCTGTTTAGTCTATTTAAGATACACTGATCAAGAAGAATCAGGATAACTGATGCATTAATGCATAAAATTCTTCTATTAAATCATATCAGAGGCCAGGCGCAGTGGCTCATGCCTGCAATCCCAGCACTTTGGAAGGCTGAGGCGGGCGGATCACCTGAGATCAGGAGTTTGAGACCAGCCTGGCCAACATGGCAAAATCCTGTCTCTACTAAAAATACAAAAAAAAAAATCAGCTGGGCATGATGGTACACCTACTATGATGAGTCCCAGCTACTCAGAAGGTTGAGGCAAGAGAATCACTTGAACCCAGGAGGTGGAGGTTGCAGTGAGCCGAGATTGCACCACTGCACTCCAGCCTGGGCAACAGAGGGAGACTCCATCTCAAAAAAAAAAAAAGAAAGAAAGAGAAAGAGGAAGAGAAGAGAAGAATGTAGATAACCAGGTATTTGCCTAACTTTCATATTTTAATAACTCCCACATAATGTGAGTCACAGGTAAGACTTACGGTTCACTATCTGTTTCCTGAGCCTCCTTTTCTTGCTTCTCTTTTTCCAGACGCTTTTTGTTTCTCTCTGTTATCAGTTTTTCTGCAGGAATCTCTGGAACTCCCATAGCTGCCGCAAATTGTGCTGCACCATGGTGAGTCAGAAAGCAATGAGGTGTCTGAGCCAGAAAGAAAAGAGAAAATGATTGGTTTTTGGAAATTTTTAAATCTTTTTAACTGTTCCAACTTCATTGAAATAATTACATCTCTCTGGGTGCAAAGGCTTAAAAATACAAATTCCAGTGCTTTGCTTTTCTGTACGCTGAACAAAGCCTGACTCTCTTCTGAGGTTTTGCACACACAGAAAAAGACCTCAGCCAAGCATGGTGGCTCACACCTGTAATTCCATTACTTTTGGAGGCAGAGGCAGATGGTGGATCACCTGAGGTCAGGAGTTCAAGACCAGCCTGACCAACATGGAAAAACCCCATCTCTACTAAAAATATAAAATTAGCCAGGTAGGGTGGCATATGCCTGTAATCCTAGCTACTTGGGAGGCTGAGGCAGGAGAATCACTTGAACCTGGAAGGTGGAGGTTGCAGTGAGCCAAGATCGCACCATTGCACTCCAGCCTGGGCAACAAAAGTGAAACTCCATCTCAAAAAAAAAAAAAAAAGCCCCCAGTTGATGGAACATTACTACAGATGCAATTTACATATTATGTTAAATTAGAGAACTCAATCCATCTTTAACAAATGCTATTAAATAGCTGGTCTGGTCATTTTGTATGTAGTCTGAAGATAATACAGGAAGATAAAAAGTAATCGCTCACTTGTCAAGTGATTTCTAGTCAAGAATCTTGGCTGATTTGAGCAACTCAAATACATTGCTTCTGTCTTGTATGTGTTTTATGAGAACAGTGATCTCAACTATTTCTGCACAGTTGGAGCCCTTATCACTGAAGTATAGTGATAACAGTTCGTTAGGAAAAGCATGTTTTGTCACATATACCTTTTCCATGACAAGCCGAGCGAGTTTAATGGGATTGGCTATACCCCGGACTGCGGACACTGCTCCCGTAGACAGGTCTTTTCCATCCATGATACTGGCGTCCATTTCAACCTCACCATTTGTGTTCAAGACAGACCCACAACCTAAAACCAAAAACAAGTTGAAAAGCAAGAATTAAGAATTTAGAAACAGCTCCAGATTTTCCTCTAATTTGCCCCATTTAATTCATCCTCTATTCCATTGCCAGAGGAACTTTTTTTTTAAGAAATCTTGACTTGGAGGAGGCTGAATGCAGTGGCTCACACCTGTAATTCTCACTCTTTGGGAAGCCGACATGGGCATATCACTTGAGGACAGGAGTTTGAGACCAGCTTGGCCAACATGGTGAAACCCTGTCTCTGCTAAAAATATAAAAATTAGCCAGGTGTGGTGGTGTGTGCCTGTAATCCCAGCTACTCAGGAGACTTAGGCAGGAGAATCACTTGAATCCAGGAGGCAGAGTTTGCCATGAGCCAAGAGTGACAGAGTAAGATTCCGTCTCAAAAAAAAAAAAAGAGAGAAGTCTGACTTGGCACTCCATGACCTACAAAATAAAAAGTACAAAGCCCTTTCCAACCTGACCTCTGACCTGCTTTTCCAGCTTCATTTTCTCTCCTTGGTTACATTTTACTGAAATATTAGGTTTCCCTGAACACAGTAGTCCCCTTATCTACAGCCTTGTTCCGAGGTTTCAGTTACCCTCAGTCCACCATGGCCCCAAATTATTAAATGGAAAATCCCAGAAATAAAAAATGCTCCAACATCCCACTCTGTGCCCCAGAGGGACGTGATTCCTCTTGCCCAGCACACCCACGCTGTATAGGGTCACTTGGCGGCCATCTCGATTATCAAGCAGATCAACTGTAGTAGTGCTGCAGTGCTTGTGTTCAAGAAACCTTATTTCACTTAATAATGGTCTCAAAGCAAATGATCTTGGCTCACTGCAACATCTGCTTCTAGGGTTGAAGCGATTCTTGTGCCTCAGTCTCCTGAGTAGCTGGGATTACCGGTGCCCGCCACCATGCCTGGCTAATAATGTTTAGACTCTTAGTAGAGACCGGGTTTCACCATGGTCAGGCTGGTCTCCAACTCCTGACCTCAAGTGATCCACCCACCTTGGCCTCCCAAAGTGCTGAGATTACAGGTGTGAGCCACCATGCCCAGCCTCGAGGCTTCTTCTCTTGGCTTGTAGGTGGTTACTACCTTACTGTGTGCTCACTGCTTGTGCCATGACCTCTTCTTGTGCCCATGAGAGTGGGCAAGCTCTCTGGTGTCACCTCTTATAAGGACAGTAATCCTATTAGTTCGGGACTCCACCCTTATAGCCTTCCTTAATTTTAATTACTTCCTGGGAGGCCCCATCTCCAAACATAGCCACCCTGGGGGTTAGGGCTTCAACACATGAGTTTTGAGGGGGACATAAACATTTAGTCTATAACACAGATAAGGGAAAATGGAAAGAATTGGTTGCCAGCAGGCCCAACCTAAAAAATGGCTACAAGAAGTTCTCAGCTGGGTTCAGTGGCTCATGCCTCTAATCCCAGCACTTTGGAGGCCAAGGTAAGAGAACTGCTTGAGCCCAGGAGTTTGAGACCACCATGGGCAACATAGGGAGACCCTGTCTCTACAAAACAATAAAAATTAGCTGGATGTCGTGGTGCTCACCTGCAGATCCAGCTTTACTTGGGAGGGTGACATGCAAGGATCACTTGAGCCTAGGAGGTCAAGGCTGCAGTGAGCTCTGATTGTGCCACTGCACTCCAGTCTGGGTGTCAGAGTAAAATTAAGACCCTGTCACCCCTCACAAAAAAAAAAAAAAAAGGATGGAGTTTTTTGTGGTTTTTTTTTTTTTTTTTGAGATGGAGTTTTACTGTCATCGATTATGCTGGAGGGCGACGGCCGATCTCAGTTCACTGCAACCTCCGCCTCCTGGGTTCAAGCGATTCTCCCGCCTCAGACTCCTGAGTAGCTGGGATTACAGGTGCCTGTAACCATGCCCAGCTAATTTTTGTATTTTTAGTGAAAACAGCATTTCACCATGTTGGCCAGGCTGGTCTCAAACTCCTGACCTCAGGTGATCCACCTGTCTCAGGCTCCCAGAATGCTGGGGTTAAACGCGTGAGCCACCGTGCTTAGCCAGACAGGAATCTTGGGACATCAGGAAGGAAGAAAGAATAAAGGAAAAAGTGAAAAAAAAAAAGGATAAATATGATAGACTTTCCTTCTCCTCTTGAATCTTCCAAATGATGTCTCCCATTTAAAGCAAAAATGGTAAGACTGTCTGAAGTGTTCTCAATGTACATAGTGGAAATACCTCAGACAACTATATGATCAGCAGGGGAGGGTAAAGGGACCCAAAAGAAAGGTAAGGCTTCTACAGGCTGCCAACCTGGAAAAATGGTCACTTTTTAGGATGTAGTAAGTTACATGTATTTATCCATCTAGAGCATAATATCCAGAGCAAACAGCTAAAAAATCTACACAGAGATAAACTCAAAAAACAATACTGCAGGTAAAACAAAATGAAATTCTAAAAACTGCTCGAATAACCCATAGGGAGGCAAGAAAAAGAGAGCAAAACCAGCAAACAGAACACTAGACACACAATAGCAGGTGTACACCTCAGTGCATCAGTGATTACATAAAATGCAAATCTTCTAAATACACTAATTAAAAGACACAGTGGATATAGGCACAGTGGATATAGGGTATAGGCACAGTGGATAATTTTATTTTTATTTTTTTGAGACAGAGTCTTGCTCTGTTGCCCAGGCTGGAGTGCAGTGGTGGGATCTTGGCTCACTGTAACCTCCGCCTCCCAGGTTCAAGCATATTCTCCCGCCTCAGCCTCCTCAGTCGCTGAAACTACTGGTGTGTGCCACCATGCTTGGCTAATTTTTATATTTTTAGTAGAGAAGGGGTTTCACCATGTTGCTGAGGCTGGTCCCCAACACCTGGCCTCAAGTGATCTGTCTGCCTTGACCTCTGACCTCCCAAAGTGCTGGCATTACAGGCATGAGCCACCGTGCCCAGCATGGGTAAAAAATTGACCCAACTATATGCTGTCTACCACATGACCCAGAAATCACATTCCTGGGCATTTATCCCAGAGGTATGGACATTTATGCTCATATAAAAACCTATTCATCAATGTTCATAGCCGCTTTATTTGTAATAGTTCCAAACCAGAAACAACCAAAATATCCTTTACCAGGTGAATGTGTAAATAAACAGTGGTACAGCTATACTAGAGAATACTATTCAGCAACAAAGGAATAAATGATATGGGCAACAACTAGATGGATCTCAAGGGCAAAAATCCTTTGGAAATGAAGACCGCCATTTCCAAAAGGTCACATACTGTATGATTCTGTCAGAGGCGTTTGACCCAGAGCAACTCCATCTTTAACGGGAGCTGGGAAAAATAAGGCTGAAACCTACTGGGTTGCATTCCCAGATAGTTAAGGCTTCTTAAGTCACAGGATGAGACAGGAGGTCAACACAAGAGACAGGTCATAAAGACCTTGCTGATAAAACAGGTTGTAGTAAGGAAACCAGCCAAACCCCACCAAAACCAAGATGGCCACGAGAGTGACCTCTGGTCATCCTCACTGCTACACTCCCACCAGCGCCCTGACAGTTTACAGATGCATGGCAACGTCAGGAAGTTGCCCTATATGGTCTAAAAAGGGGAGGCATGAATAATTCACCCGTGTTTAGCATATCATCAAGAAATAACCATAAAGATGGGCAACCAGCAGCGCTCAGGGCTGCTCTGCCTAGGGAGGAGCCATGCTTCAGTCCTTTACTTTCCTATCAACCTGCTTTCACTTTACAGATTCGCCCTGAATTCTTTCTTGGGCGAGATCCAAGAAAACCTCTCTTGGGGTCTGGATCAGGACCCATGTCTAGTAACAATAGTAACAATTAAATTTACAGAACATTCTCAAAACAATAAAATGATAGTGACAAGAAACAGATAAGTGATTGCCAGCTGTTAGGGAGGATGTCATACTGTGATCTCTGAGAAACGCATACAGCTGTCCCTTGGTATCTGTGGGGAACTGGATATAGGACCCCTGGAAATATTGAAACTACCTTTGCAAAAATTATTTCAGTGAGAAAATTATGACACTGAAAGAGATCTGAGTTAACATACCATCCTATCTTGCCTTTCCCTTCATTATTCCTGGGCTACTGGGTGGAGCTAACTTTGAGAAACATTTAGGCTACAGTTCAAAGGATAACAGGCCTTGCCCAAAACACAACTGCTCTTCTAAAGTGAATGAAAGTTCATCTAGGCTGGGCACAGTGGCTCATGCCCACAATTCCAGCACTTTGGGAGGCTGGGGTAGGTAGAACATAAGGTGAGGATTTGGAGACCAGCCTGGCCAACGTGGTGAAACCCCATCTCTACTAAAAATATAAAAATTAGCAGGGCATGGTGGCGCATGCCTGCAATACCAGCTATTCAGAAGGATGAGGCAGGAGAATCGCTTTAACCTGGGAGATGGAGGTTGCAGTGAGCCAAGATCGTGTCATTGCACTCCAGCCTGAGCAACTGAGCAAGACTCCATATCAAAAAAAAAAAAAAAAAAAAAAGGAAAGAAAGGAAGTTCATCAAGCTGGGGCAGGAGAGGAAAGCCTGATTCTAAAGAGGTGTAGACACACATACCTGAAGGAATGCCTGCCATTCCACCACTATTGCACTGACCTTTTGAGGTATCTTTTCAGGATTTTATGCATGTCTGACATGCATGGCTCCACCTGGACCTGCCAAGCCCCTCATCTGTAGCCTCGCCCAGAAGCAACTCAGTGCACAGGAGGAAAGTTTTGTTGTTTTTTAGATGGAGTCTCGCTTTGTCGCCCAAGCTGGAGGGCAGTGGTGTAATCTCAGCTCACTGCAACCTCTGTCTCAAAACCTTGAGTTCCTCAAAAAACTAAAGCAGCGTCCCCGCGTGTGTGCGCCTAATTTCAGCTGGTCCACCCGAGGCCCCCTGAGCACCAACCCTAGTCCCCCGCGCGACCCCTTATCCGCTCCGACAAGATGAAAGAAACAATCATGAACCAGGAAAAACTCGCCAAACTGCAGGCACAAGTGCGCATTGGTGGGAAAGGAACTGCTCGCAGAAAGAAGAAGGTGGTTCATAGAACAGCCACAGCAGATGATAAAAAACTTCAGTTCTCCTTAAAGAAGTTAGGGGTGAACAATATCTCTGGTATTGAAGAGGTGAATATGTTTACAAACCAAGGAACAGTGATCCACTTTAACAGCCCTAAAGTTCAGGCATCTCTGGCAGCGAACACTTTCACCATGACAGGCCATGCTGAGACAAAGCAGCTGACAGAAATGCTACCCAGCATCTTAAACCAGCTTGGGGCAGACAGTCTGACCAGTTTAAGGAGACTGAAGGTCTCCTTTAAGGCTGAAGCTCTGCCCAAACAATCTGTGGATGGAAAAGCACCGCTTGCTACTGGAGAGGAGGATGATGATGAAGTTCCAGATCTTGTGGAGAATTTTGATGAGGCTTCCAAGAATGAGGCAAACTGAATTGAGTCAACTTCTGAAGATAAAACTTGAAGAAGTTACTGGGAGCTGCTATTTTATATTATGACTGCTTTTTAAGAAATTTTTGTTTATGGATCTGATAAAATCTAGATCTCTAATATTTTTAAGCCCAAGCCCCCTGGACACTGCAGCTCTTTTCAGTTTTTTGCTTATACACAATTCATTCTTTGCAGCTAATTAAGCCGAAGAAGCCTGGGAATCAAGTTTGAAACCAAGGTTAATAAAGTTCTTTGCCTAGTAAAAAAAAAAAAAAAAAAAACTAAAGCAGAGCTACCATATGATACAGCAATCCCCCTGCTGGGTATATGCCCAAGAGAAAGGAAATCGGTATATGGAAGAGTTATTTGTACTCCTTGCTGGCTGCAACGTTGTTCACAATAGCCAAGATTTGGAAGCTACCTAGGTGTCCATCAACAGCTGAATGAAGAAATGATGCATATACGCAATGGAGTACTACTCAGCCATAAAAAAGAATGAGATTCAGCCATTTACAACAACCCGGATGGAACTGGAGATCATTATGGTAAGCGAAGTAAGTCAGGCACAAAAAGACAAACTTCGCATGTTCTCACTTATCTGTGGGAGCTAAAAATCAAAACAACTGAACTTATAAAGATAGAGAGTAGAAAGATGGTTAGCAGAGGCTGGGCAGGATAGCAAAGGTGGGGAAGAAGTGGGGATAGGTAATGAGCACAAATATAGAATGAGTAAGATTTAGTATTTGATAGCACAACAGTGACTATCGTCAATAATTTATACATTTTTAAATAACTAAAAGAATATAATTGTTTATAACACAAAGGATAAATGCTTGCAGGGACGGCTATCCCATTAACCTAATTTTGCACTGCATGTCTGTATCACAATGTCTCACAAACCCCTACAAGTACATATACCTACTTGTATCTCAGAATCACCTGGGAATCTTCAAAACAAAGAAACAAACTACAATTCCCAAACCCCACCACAGATCTTTACCTTATTGATTCTATACCATAAGTCGAGAAAGAGAGGAGATAAATGAAAAAAAAAATCCTGTTCTCTCAAAGATTCTCTAGCAGCTTATCACACTGAATTGTAGAGAGAATTAATATCTAAAGTGCTATGTAAATATTGTTGAGCTCTAGTGAAAACAAATGGTCATAATTTGGTTGCCAATCAAGGAAGTTTTTAAAGAATATTTCTAGCATTCAGATTTACAAGTTCAATCTTTACAGTGCTGGTAACTAAAAATCAACCACTTTTTAACAAACTATTATGAAACAAGCTTTAGACATAAAGTAAAATCCATATTGAAACAGGAATAGAACGTAAGCATAATGTTTTTACAAACGTTCAGGCAAGTTGTGTCATGAATGCTAATTATTACCATTGAACTCAATGCCTACTAGGTTCGGCTTTTTGTATGAAGTTCCCAAACAGTTATTTATTCCAGAGGACTACAGCAGAGGCTGCTGGGAATATTGTTTGCCTGTACTGAATGTTCACTGAATGTGGTTCACAGTGTGCTGTTAAAAGTCCCACCTTTCCCCCCAGAATCTTCGCTTTCCTTCTTTTCAGCTCTACTCTTTTCTTCCTCAATGTGCTGAATAGCAGACATTTGAAAGATGCGAGGGGAGACATTGAGAAGGAAGGCCTCTGGATACAGAGCAAAAAAATGAGAACTAGCTGCTCCAATTCCCTAATCTGTACTTCCCAATTCATGCAGATGAGGAATTATTAAGAATAAGAGATGGCAAACCAGGATGACCCATTTCAAACGAAGGTCCTGTGTAAATAAGTGAGGGTTTGTCAGCCCAGGGGGTTCTGAGTGCTAAGAGGCAATAGTTTAACAAGTCACCCACAGAAAATGCTGGCTGCTTCCTCTGCTGGCAAAGCCAGTCCCTATCTGGTAAATTACGGCTTGGTAACTCATAAGTGAGTTAATCATTTAATGTTCATTATGAGTTAACTTGAGTTAGTTTAACTCAAGTCAACCAATTCAAGTGAGTTAAATGATCAACTCATTTAATGTTCAGATTAAATATTATCAAGCAAATGTCTTAGACTACTGCCTGACACACAGTAGATAATCATGTTAGCTACAATGATTAGTATTCTAACAAAGGGTGGACTGGCCAGGCACGATGGCTCACACCTGTAATCCCAGCACTTTGGGAGGCGGAGAAGGGTGGATCACCTGAAGTCAGCTGTTCAAGACCAACCTGGCCAACATGGTAAAACCTTGTCTCTTAAAAAAAAAGGGAGTGGGGGATGCACTGAGTGAAAGAAGCAAAACACAAAAGAATACACTACATCCCAAAGTTAACCTGAAAACTTTGGAACCCCATGGGGGGTGGTAAGACATCCTCATTATTCCCTACTTCCTTTTGGAATTCATGCCCAGCTAACCAGCATTAACATTATAACAGATCTTTTTTTTTTTTTTTTGAAACAGAGTTTCACTCTTGTTACCCAGGCTGGAGCGCAATGGCGTGATCTGGGCTCACAGCAACCTCTGCCTCCTGGGTTCAGGCAATTCTCCTGCCTCAGCCTCCCGAGTAGCTGGGATTACAGGCACCCGCCACCATGCCCAGCTAATTTTTTGTATTTTTAGTAGAGACGGGGTTTCACCATGTTGACCAGGATGGTCTCGATCTCTTGACCTTGTGATCCACCCGCCTCGGCCTCCCAAAGTGCTGGGATTACAGGTGTGAGCCACCGCACCCTGCCCTATAACAGATCTTAAGACTGACAAAGCCGACTTTGCCTGTAGCAGTAAGATACCAAATTCCAGCAGGACTCTTTTAGTATGACATCACATGACACACAGTAAGCCCTGAAAGTGAACTATGTGATCCCAAATTATGTTTCTTTGCCATATCTTGAAATAGTCCTGCAAAGCTACCTCTTGTAGGGAAAATCTACATTCTGAAGAGAATCCCCTTCCTTTTCTAGGCCTTTTTCCTGATTCAGGAGAGAATCAACTCTGATAAGAAACATTTGCAATTTATTCTCTCAATAACCAGGAGGCCTCCTCTGCATAAGGGGAGTCTTGGTCTCCCCAACCCCTTATCCTAAGGCAGGCATTCCCTTTTCTTTTGAGATGGAGTCTAGCTCTGATGCCCAGGCTGGAGTACGGTGGCGTGATCTCAGCTCACTGCAACCTCTGCCTCACAGGTTTAAGTGACTTTCCTGCCTCAGCCTCCCAAGTAGCTGGGATTACAGGCTCCCACCTCGATACCTGGCTAATTTTTATTTTATTTTTAGTAGAGATGGGGTTTCACCTATTGGCCAGGCTGGTTTCGAAATGCTGACCTCAGGTGATCTGCCCGCCTTGACCTCCCAAAGTCCTGGGATTACAGGCGTGAGTCTCCGTGCTCAACCACCTTCTATCCATTCCATCTGCAGCCCCAAGTCCTTATATAATCCAGACATTCCCTTCTATGGATTCTAGGTCTTTAGACAAAACTTTAAACCAACTGTCCATCAGAAAATCTTTGAATCTACCTATGACCTGGAAGCCACCCTCCCACCCAGTAGTCCCACCTTTCCAGATGGAACCAATGTACATCTTATATGTACTGATTGATAGACGTCTTTTGTCTCGCTAAAATGTATAAAACACGCTGTAGCCCAACCACCTTGGGCACATGTTCTCAGGATTTCCCAAGAGCTGTATCACAGGCAATTGGTCACTCATATTTGGCTCAGAATAAATCTCTCCAAATATTTTAACATTTGACTCTTTTCATCACAGGTGAAAAATAAAATCCTGTTTCTTTTTTACATATTTAATTTCACCCCAAAGCTCATTAGATTCCTCGACACTTTACATAGGTTCTATTTATTCTGAGGGAGGAGCTTGACCGGACTCACATTATTTACTAGCTGAAAGGCACATTTTACCTGCGTTGAACTCGGGATCGTCTTCCAGGGTGACCACAGCTCCCTCCACGGCGTCCACGGCGCTCCCGCCCTCCCGGAGGATGCCGTAGCCCACGGTGGCGGCTCTGATGATGCCCTGGCGCACTCTCTCCTTCACATCCTCCGAGACGGGGCCAGCTCCGCCGTGGACCACCAGGACGGGATTCATGTCGGCTGATCCTGGGCAGCAGGAAAACGAAAGCGTCGTCCAAAGCCAGCCCAAGGAAGCCGCGGGGACACAAGGTCCTCGGGAGATCTCGTTGGGACAGCGCCCAGTCTCTATTTAGGGAGGTCGGATTGACAGCGGTGGGTGGGAAGGGGCGGCTGGGTAGAGCTTGGTACAAAGAGCCCAGGGGGCCCCGCGCTCTCCCGCGTTCCTCTCCGCCCCGGCCCGGACCTGCTGGGGCCTCAGTTTCCCCGAGGACGTTGCCCCGCGCCCACCGCCGCCCTCTCCAAGCCCCGACACCTAGGGAGGATGTATATTTCGCCTTCGGGAAAATGCGTATTTTCGTTCGCCCTCCCTAGTCCCGGCAGATGCTCCGGGAGGACCGCGGACTTACTGAGGGTACTGCGGAAGGCGGACGCCGAAGCCTCAGGCTGTGTCCAGCGCTCCCCGCAGCCGCCCAGTCCCGCCGCTCAGCGGAGCCGGCTGGAAACTGCTCAGCGGGCATCTGCTCCCGCCGCCACGGCTCTGCGCCTGCGCACGAGGGCGGAGCCGGCTGGAAACTGCTCAGCTGGCATCTGCTCCCGCCGCCACGGCTCTGCGCCTGCGCACGAGGGCGGAGCCGGCCCCGCCCAATTCCGGGAAAGCCCCGACGCCCGGTTGGGGCACACCAGTCTCACCGCTCTCAGGAGTCTCGGCTTCTGGCCCGTATGAGCTTCCTAGTGGGATGATGGGACCTTCTTCCTCCTGACGAGGCCGGGAGCTGGGTGGTTGGGTTGGTGGTGAGAAGTGTGAAGTGGCGTTCCACGGTTTTGTAATTGCAAATTGAAAAGCAACGCTGGGCCGGCGCAGTGGCTCACACCTGTAATCCCAGCACTTTGGGAGGTTGAGGCAGGCGGATCACCTGAGTTCGGGAGTTCGAGACCAGCCTGACCAACACGGAGAAGACAGTCTCTTCTGCTAGAAATAAGAGTTCTGAGTCACAAAGGAAATGAGCACTCGAACAAAAGATCTCTCAGCAAAGCAAATTTACCTCTGCCGAAGGGTGCTGCTGCTCGCACCTGGGGTGGTCACAAGAGCACAAGGAAAAAAGGAACAGCAGGGGTTTTTATTCTTAACTGCAGTTTGTCCCTGTTACTGTGTCCTGTCTCCATTGGCTGGAGTTGGACTGCGCAATCTAAGCTAAACCCGATTGGCTAATTTGAAGAGGGCAGGGGCGTGGGCTACAATGGTAGGAAGGGTAGTTTCAGACAGGAAGAGTCCTTACGGCGGGAGGCGTAGTTTACAGAGCGGTACCAGATGTGGGTTGCAGATTTGGCCCATAGTGAAAGTTGCTTACTGGAACCAGGGGCAGGGAGGCACAAAGAAGAAGGAAGTTTGGCCTTGAAGGTAGAGAACAAAGATAATTCCTCCTCTTTAAACCTTTTTAACATGTCTTGACTTTGTTGTTCTGTTTGGTCTTCTAAAAGAAAAAGCTCATTAATAGGGAGGGGGTAATTGAGGGAGTTTTTGGTGAGAGCTGTTTCCATAAGTCTTTGCATTAATCCTTGGGCACAGGGTATGATACAGCATCCTATGAGAGTAAGTACACCTATGACAATTGTGAGAAAGTTAACATTGAGGACATGAGCCCTTTCCATTTACTGAATCACCTTTCCACAAAACTTATGAAGGGATCATTTATTCTGGAATTTTTGGCTAGTTCATTTGATAAGGAGGTGAGGTTTGTAAAGCTTTGGTAATTGTTCCATCAGGGACTGTGTTGTTAGGGACAAATATACAGCATTGGGTTCCAATCATGACACAGACTGCAGCTTTTTCTGCCAACATCGTGTCAAGGGCTATTCTATTTTTCCAGGTTATTTCGCTGGTGAGACCTAATTGTTCAGCTATCCCCTTCATAGCATCTCTAGTGCAATTGACAAATGGCTGTTTATAGTTTATCCAATCTACATTTTTACTTATAATTGACCACCAGAATCGTGCAGATTTGAATCCTGTAGCTATCTGATTTCGAGTCTTAAATTTATCTGGTACTCCTAGTGGGACTCCAATAGCATCTATATAAATGCAGGGGTCAAAAGATCCGGGTGGAGCACTTCTGTTCACCGAGTTTTGACTTTCTTGCCTGCTGTGTTAGCGAATGCCAGGGTGAAAGGGATGGCCAGTTGGACTGGAGCGAAAGTGCCACTCCAGTTACTTGGCAGGGAACTCAATAGTAGCTTTCCGCAATATCACCATACCTCTGCTCGGGTGTGAACAACAGCAGCTTGACTGGTAAGCTCTTGAAAGACTTGGTTTCACTGTACCTTTTTAGATCTCCGAGACGTTAACCTCTCCCCCTGTCATGAGAGACACCGATAAAATTAACATCCAAGGCTGGCGGCCAGATCACACTCAGGAGCTGACCCGAAGAGCTTTTAACTTCAGGGAATAGCAGTGAGAGTCTTGCACACCTTACTGCCTCGGGCTGTGGGGTTTTGAAAGAGACTTACCATGCAGCTCATGCCCAGTCAGTCAGAAGACCAAGTGGGAAAGGGACTATTTGAGCCTCTGGCCTTCCTGCCGCACAAGCGTAACTGTCACTTTTGGTTATCATGGGAACAGAATATTTAATCCATTCCAACCAGGCATTTGCAAACTACTAAAGTTTGTTTTAAGTCTTTAATTTCTACAATGTCTGATGGCTTTATCATTGGAGAGAATAACAGTTTGATTGAAAGAAGATTCTGAAGGAGAAGGGAGGGAAGCTGGTGGAGGAGCAATGAAGTGCATCTCAAAAGATCCTATTGGGTCCACCTCTCCCACGTCAGCTCCTGAGCGTAGAAGCCACCTGGAGTGGGGTTACTGTCAGTAGGGGTGGGGATGATGATAGAGATTTGCAAAGGATTACCATTATTGAAGTTGGCAATAGGAGGAAGTTATTCCTTTGTAAGGTGGATGTAAGGTTTTGGGTCAACGCAGCTTCCTCCTGGGGAGGTCCAGCCTTGTTACTTGGTGGTCCAGATGACATCTCCCCAACCGTAACAGAATTTCCACCGACTGCTTTGTGCTTTCCTGGTACAAGTGTCACTATTACGGGCAGTCTTGTTTATCTCAGAGGGGCAGAAGTACTTTTCGGAAGGGCCCGCTTTCTTTGGTTTTGGAGATCTCCACAGGGCATAACAAGACATTTGAGGGAGGCTTGAACTAGTTACATTACATGAATGACAAGCTGGCTAGCCACAGTGAAGAAAGCCTATAAAATAATATAGTAGGTATAGGACGGTTAGGTTTTTGTTTTGTTTTGTTTTGTTTTTTAGCTTTAATCTGGTAGGGCTGTCCCCTGAAATGATGGTCTGTGACTCTGGAGGTAGTGATGTCTTCTTGGCCCGGGTATGATGAGTCTACCCTTTTTTTGCTGTTTGGACTGCAGCTCAGTGCTTAGGAGCACTAGGTAGGGTCCTTCCCAAATTGGTTTGAGTTTTCCTCTTTCCAGCCTTTGATGAGAATGTGATCTCCGGCTGCTGCTGATGTGCTGGGAGCTCCAGGGGTGGCACCTGTGCTAGGAGGCCTCTAGTTTTAAAAGAAAGTGGAAGATAGAGCAAGTATACAGTTTTTGAGGAACTGGTCTTTTGTTTCAAATGTGGGAATGTCAGCAGTGGAATGTAAATAAGGCAATCCAGATAGCATTTCTTAAGGGGATAAATCAGCATCTTTCCAAGGGGCAGTTCTAATTCTCAACACAGCAAGAGGAAGGCATTTAGTCCATGGGAACCAAGTCTCTAAGACTAATTTGATAAAGTGACTTGTAGGGTTTGATTCCTTCTTTTTACTCTTCCTGATGAGGGTGGGTGCCAGGGAGTATGGTATTCACATGTTACGTCTAGTACTTGGGATAGTTTTTTGATGATATGCACAGTGAAATGGATTCCATTATCTGAACCAATATTTTTTATTAGTGCAAACCTTGATACAATATTTTCAATAAGTGCCTTCACTACATTATTAGCAGTCGCATTTGAAAAGGAAATAGCTTCTACCCAGTGAGTGTGATGATCTACTATCACTAGTAGGTATTTTAGGCAACTGACTGAACGCATCTCCATGTAATACATTTGTACACTTTGGAAAAGTCTTAGTCCTGGACATTTTCCCCCAAAGGGTGATGTTTTTAGAGTTTGCTTATTAGAGCCCCAAGGAGGTGATTCTGGCACTGGGTGATCTAGGAGGAGGAGGCTTGGGGTGGGGAATGCCAGAGATGGGGAGAGGAGGTGGGACCAGAAAAGGAGGGACTGGGCAGGGAGGGTCTGAATCAGAAATGAAGGAGGCATGTTAGACTGAGCAAAAAGGAATGAGGGTGGGAGGGAGGAAGAGAAGAAGAGAAAGAAGCAACTAATATTTTCTTTTTCTTTTTCTTTCTTTCTTTCTTTCTTTCTTTCTTTCTTTCTTTCTTTCTTTTTTTCTTTCTTTCAAGACAGAGTGTCACTCTGTTGCGCAGGCTGGAGTACAGCTGTGCGATCTTGGCTCACTGCAATCTCTGCCTCCTGAGGTTCAGGCATGATTCTCCTGCCTCAGCCACCCGAGTATCTGGGATTACAGGCATACACCACCACACCCAGATAATTTTTGTATTTTTAGTAGAGATGGGGTTTGCACATCTTGGTCAGGCTGGTCTCAAACTCTTGACCTCAAGTGATTTGCCCACCTTGGCCTCCCAAAGTGCTGGGATTACAGGTGTGAGCCGCTGCACCTGGCTGCAACTAACATTTTGTGACGGTCCACTGGGGAACCAGCAGGCTGCCTTGACTACATTCTCACTCCCTAGCAACTTCCCATCCCTGCCAGCCTCAGCTACATGAGGAAGAGGCTTTTGGCCGACCCCACTGGGGGCAGGATGGGAATCTGTGAGGCTCTCTCCAAATTCTAGAACATGTAAAAGTGTCTTGAGCTTGCTGTCTTCCAAGGCTTTCAAACAAGAAGTGGGACACATACCTTTCAACTCTGAGATCCCTGAACTTATTTAGGAGATCTAGGACCCTCAAATTTGTTCAGGAATGGGGCACGAGGCTGTTTTTAGAAGGCCCCCATAAACATTTTGTGCACTAGCCCTTCTTTCTAACTTTCTTCTCCTCCCCTCTGACCACAGAGTTGTAATTCAGTTAGTGATATGGGATGAAGGCAGGGAAGTGCTGGGTAGAGAAAGGCATGGTCCCTGGCTAGGGCTCCACCCCGGGCCTGTGCCCATGGACCTGGGTGAGGACAGGCACTCCTGCCTTTGGGCCCAAATGTTACATTTTCCAAGACCACCCTGGCTCACCACACCTCCATCCTGTACTTATAAAAACCTGAAGACCCTAGGGGCAGGAACACCAGTGGCTGGATGTTGAAAGGAACACAGTGGTAGAAGCGCGCACTGACAGGCACCAGCAGATGCTGGCAGGCCATCGACCAGTGGAGCAACGCGGAGTTTGGCTGGGGCAGTCGCGAGAGAGCCTGGCCGTGGGCAGCCCAGCTCTGGGGGAGAAACCACCCTCCCACTCCATCCCCCTTCTGGCCTCCCCATCCACCTCGCTGAGACCTACTACTCAATAAAAAACCTTGCACTCATTCTCCAAGCCCACGTGTGATCCGATTCTTCTGGTACACCAAGGCAAGAACCCCAAGATACAGAAAGCGCCCTGTCCTTGTGATAAGGCAGAAGGTCTGATAGAGCTGATTCACACAAGCTGCCTGTGGAAGGCAAGACTGAGAAAGCACCCTATAACTCACGCCCACTGGGGCTTCAGGAGCTGGAAGCATTCACCCCTAGTTACTGCCGAGGGGTGGGAGCCCCACAACCTGCCCATCTGCATGCTCCCCCTGGAGGTTTGAGCAGCAGGCACCGAAGAAACGAGCCCCTCCCCCTGTTGCTCACCCTTCTACAGAACTAGGTCCTATTGGTGTTTTAGGAGTTTTTTCCCGTTTTTTGAAATG